GTGTGTGTGTGTGTGCTGTTTCCTTTAACAAATTTTTGAGCAGCCCCCCCCACACACACACTTCTCTCCAAAATCCCGTTATTTAGTCGGAAATTACGTCAGTAGTGTTGCCTAGCAACGAGTCTGCGGCCTTCTTCTTCCTGTTAGCGTAGCGTAAATTCAAAATCACAACCTCCCCTTTGATCTTCGCCAAAACACACCCGGATGTTGACTTGGCGATTCCACTTTCTTAACGGGTGCGCCAACAAAAGCTTATTAGTTTATGTGGTGTGTGTGTGTGTGTGTGTGTGTGTGTGTGTGTGTGTGTGTGTGTGTGTGTCAGACTGCAGTGCGGATAGTCCTGGGTCGAGTCCCAGTTTGGCGTTTTTAGACATATTATTATGTTGGGTGTTTTATTCTTGGTTATTACGCTTTACGGTACAAAGTCTCCTCCTTTCTCCCTCTTATTTGGATCATATTGGAAGTGCTTCAAGTGCTTAACGTTAATTTTTTTGGTCCTTTTCTTCTTAGACATCTCTCTACCGAAAGGTGTGAGTGTATGTGTTTGTGTATGTGTGTGTGTTTCTCTCTCTCTCTCTCTCTCTCTCTCTCTCTCTCTCTCTCTCACTCACTCTCTCTCTGTCTCTCTCTCTCATTTTTTTTCGATGTTGAAAAACCACACTTATATCCATGGGTGGTTGGCGGGTGCTCTGATGTGGTTTGCTCCTTCTTTCCTATCGAACATCTATCGTCCTTATCTCTCCTCCTTCTTTTTTTGTTTGGTACTCTCTTGTAACACCTCTAATCTTCTGCACTTGTATGGCCTTATTGTGTTGCAAGTGCCGTTAAACTCTTAATAAAACCTAACACTTCTCTCCTTCCTTCCCCAGTAACGGAACTGAAGCCCCTCCCTTCCTACTCCTCGCTCTACAACCACGTGGCGCTCAACAGCAACAGCAACAACAACAGCAGCACCCCCAACAACAACAACAACAACAACAGCAATACCAACAGCAACAGCCCAGGCACCGCCACCCCGGGCAACTCCAGCGCCCCCCTCACCCTCACCCCTCAGAACTCTGCCGTGCTTGCTGCTCTAGCCGCTCCTACAGGATCGGGAAACCCCCCTGCCCTCCTCCCGATCTCCAGCCTCACGCCATCCAACAGACAAATCTTCGCCTCTGCCTCAGCAGCGGCCGCAGCGGCAGCGGCAGCAGCAGCCAATCACATGTCGCATATGAATAGCTTGGGGCCCGAAGCCACGCCCTCCGCCATAGGGCGCGCGTTTTCATTGGACAATATCATGCTGAAGCAAGAGCATGACTCCATGTACTCGCCGTCTCCGCCCAAGGCGGTGCCTGTGATGACGTCAGACATGGCTGGCGAGGCGGAAGTGGCTGTGCAATCGCTCAATAACTCGGAAATTCTGCAGCTCAAGTCGGCTACTGTCAGTCAGTAACCAGACCGAGACTTAACGTTTTTTTTTGGTGTTTTTTTTTCGTACTCTCCTGACTAATCCCAGGACAGAATGGTGATAGAATATGATGTACCTCATCTGGTAAATCCCAAGACGAAATGGAAATCCAAAGACGGATCGGTAATTTAACTGTTACCTCACCTGGTAAATCCCAAGGCAGATTGGTAATATACAATGTACCTCACCTGGCAAATCCCAAGACGAAATGAAAATCTACTATTTACCTTTCCAAGCTAATTCCAGGACTGAATTGCGGTGTAATATAATATTATGTACCTTACCTGGTAAATCCAAAGACGGAATGGTAATTAACTCTTTACCTCACCTGGTAAATCCCAAGGCTGATTGGTAATATATTATTACCATAATATACTATTATGTATTGCGCTTGAGTAGTCTCAAGAAAGAATGGAAATATACTATGAACTTCACCTAGTGAATGCCGAGGCAGAATGATTATATACTACGTACCGAGCTTGAGTAGCCTCTAGAAAGAATGGTCAAACATACACTCTGTACCTCATTTGAGAAGTTTCAAGAGACAGTATGGTAATGTAATAATAGGTGTACTATGTACTTCACTTAGTAAATCCCAGGACAGAATGGTAATTTACGTTTTGCCCCACCTGGACAAAATGGTAATATACTATGTACCCCATTTGGTTGATTCCAAGACAGAAAGGTCATATATGCTTCGTACTTCACTTGAGGCTTCTCAAGACAGAATGGTTGTGCATTGAAGTGTGAATTATTTCGAGACAACTGCACGCACACCGGACGTATTGGACTTGATCATACTATCTGTGTGTATGTGAGAGAAATTGTTTAAACAGTCTTCTGACCAGTTTCCCATTGTTAGAGGCAAGTGCACCCGGGAACGTACTGGGCTTTATGTACGTGCGAGAGATTGGCGTAAAAGGAGTTGCTCAGAGTGCCATTGTTTGTTATGCAGTAGGGTGTCGGGCTAATGCTCAGTGGCCTTTGACTCCATCTTTTCGGTTTGGTTTGGTAGGCGGGGCTAGCCAGATTGAGCCTGAGAAGTGACCATTTTGGCACAATCCGATGGCCCGACTCGCGCCCTCAAAAGCAAACGCGTTTGTTCTCAGGTCGCAAGTCGGGTGATCAGTTGGCGATCGGTTTGTAGTAGACTTACAGAACAGATCCACCAATGGGAACTGGGTATAATATGGTTTGCATGTTGTGGGTCATACCTCAGCAGCCAGCGGCAGCCAATCACATGTCGCGTACGAATAGCTTGGGGCCCGAAGCCACGCCCTCGGTTATGGGGCTCACGTTTTGATTGGTAGGTTACTGGGTGTGGTGAGGAAAAGTTTCTGACTCCATTTCCCCACCTTCGTTGTGCGTGCAAGGAATGGCGTAACGTTGACTGGCCTGGTTGTCCCTTACACCTTGTCACACCTTGTCACACCTTGTCACACCTTGTCACACCTTGTCACACCTTGTCACACCTTGTCACACCTTGTCCACAGTGTTGGGGTCAATACAGTCGGAACATGTCCATCTCTGCTCCCCCCCCCCCCTCCTCTTCAGGATCAATCCCAGATTCTGTCTGCCTATAGTCTCTATCATAATCTGGCGGGAGATCCGTCCGACTGTTCCGCACAGGTGGCTGGATGTCCCTGCTATGCAATAAGCTGTTGGGCTAACAGTTGGCATATGTTGTTGTTGGTCAGACTCCTATGTTGATGGGTAGGTTGATGTATCACAGAGAACTGCACTCGGAACGTAATATTGGATTTAATTTGTCCTCGTCGTTTTATGCAAACAAATTAATAAATTGAAATTAATTATGCAAAATGAGCCCAAAAATGTGAAATTATGCGATTCTGTTAATTTTAACAGAATGATAAAGGAAAATAATCAGAAATTATGCAAAAAATGATACAATTTTGCTAAATTATGCAGGGTGCATAAAACCACAGGGACAGTTTAATGTTCGTATGATCAGGAAGAATTGCGTAAAAAGGGCTGCTCAGGATGTCACTTTTTTATTTTATGAAATAAGCTGTTGGGATAACGGTTGACATATTATGTTGTTGGTCAGACTCCTGCGTTGATGGGTAGTAGTTTTTTTGTGTGTGTAACAAAGAAGGGTTTGTGGCTCCAACCCGCCCCCTTCCCTCACTCCCTTTTACAAAATATTTCCATGAATAAGCGTCACACCACGAATCATCTAACGCAACTCTAAAGGTCCAACTCAGAAAGCGATCTAATTGGATAGGTGAGCACTATATTATATCCTACTGGGCACATTACAAGGAAGGAGAAGAAAAGACAGACAGCAAAAGAGATGGGAAGACAACATAACGGAATGGACGGTTTAAAGTTGGTTGAAACCCTTTGGAAGGCTGAAAATAGAGAAGGGTGGAGGAAAGTGGTTGCCCGATCATCCATGGTGCCTAAGTAGTCTTCTCCTTCTCCTCCCCTGCACAGTTCTTCTCCTTCTCCTCCCCTGCACAGTTCCCTGAACAATGGTCTTGGGTAGGCCACATGATCTCCCTACTAGCCTGACTAAAATGGTGGCGTCGGTAACCTAGTGGTTAGGCAATCGGACCCGTACTCCTGAGATTGCGGGATCAGGGGTTCGAACCTGAGCTTGGTCCGACGTTGTGCCCTTGGGAAAGGCTCTTTCCTGGTCAACAAACTAATGGCTGCTTTGGGGATTTGTGAAACTTTTGAATTTCGAAATGGAAGCCGTCACAAATGCCTGTAGAGACTGTACTTTTAAAGCACCTCATAGTCAGCTTACAGATTTTTGATGATTTGGTGGCCTTCTTCGTTTTATTTTATTTGATAAAGATTTCATCGAAAGTAAAAGAGAATTTGGATTGTAAAGCCGTGATATGAATTACTTTGATGTTGATTGGTAGGCCTATAGGAGATGATAAATAGGTCTATCGTCAGTGGACATTGAGAATCGGATAATGAGCAGGGAGTTGCTAGTGGTGCAGGTTTTTAAAAAATGAAATAGCCTTATGCATGTGATTTGGGAGGGGGGGGTTTCCAGAAAAAGTGTCCGTGCCGAGAACATTTTTGAAATGTGAAATCAGATTTGGAAACAGTCACGAGTAGCCTCTCAGAGGGAGCTGCTGGACCCTCTTCTTTTGTAAAGATAATACAATGGATGAAGAGGCCAATGTAACCACGGTGTGGAAAAGGAGAACCTCCGACCTCCCCACTCCCCCCCCCACCCCAGGGCAGCCTGCCACCCCTTTCCATCCTCAGAGCCCCCCCCCCCCCTCTTTCGCCACCAACCCCCCCTCTTTCGCCACCCACCCCCCTTTTCTCCCTTACTCAGCCAAAGGAAAACAAGTATTTGCTCAATAAAAATAACACACGATGCTGTAGTCGTGTCATACTATAAATGTTATATAATTTGTAGTAACCATTGCTTTTGAAATATACTTTGAATCTATACCACTGTTGAAACGATCATCATGGAAATATACCCTGTCACATTGTTCAAAACATCAACCAAAGACTTACATCCTCAGCCAAAGACAAAGAAAGATAACTGTCCTTCTCACATTACGTCATCAATAACGTAGAAGTTTCATTGACACACGCGACTGGCTGTTCTTTTTGGGGAATTTAAAGTTGTGATTGATGTTTGGAATCACACTTTTAAGGGGTACTAGTTTTTAAATTGAACACTCTAACTTTCAATTGAAAGTTTTGATTGCCGTTTGGAATCATTTTAAGGGGTATCAGCTGTAAGTTGAAAGCTGTAACTTCCAACTGAAAGTTGTGATTGGTGTTTGGAATCAGTTTTAAGAATGGGTATCACTTTTAAGTTGAAATCTATTACTTTCAATAATTTCATTTGAAGTGCTCTTTTTTTTTCAATGTCCCATAATGTGGATGTTGCAGATTTCTTCTTGTTGTCTAATGCAATAATGTGTTGGCCGTGAACAGCAAGTAACGTTGTCTATTTACGACAAAATGTGAGTTACGACTTTCATTATTTACTCCATTGGGTTATAAGTGTAGGCAAGTTGCACATTGCTTTGGGGTGAATTTCTCAAGGCTTTATATAAATATTATGAAAAATGAAAGAATTCTTTGAAGTTTACTGTATGATAAATAGAATTTTGACTGCTTGAAATGGCATGCTTTTATTATCTTACAGTGAACTTCAAAGAATTGAAACTATGCTTTCTCACTAGATGGTAAGTTAAAATTTAAAACCTAAACACACAACATTAAAACTGAAGCATTGCTGACATATTCGAGTGACTTACATGAACACAATAGCTCACAAAGCAACATTAAAAAGGAAGAAACATTTACATTTAGTTCCACGTCATCATTTTTCTTTTCCTTCTTTGTGGAGCTTCTTTTTTTTTCTTTTTAAAAAAAAAAATATAAAGATCACTTTATCAAAGTCTTGATTTTTAACCTGTTACTTGGATATTTCCTTTTTTAAAGAAAATCTTATCGACAATGTTTTGTCTAGTCACCGTTGTGGATACTTCAGAGTTATATCTAGTTAGGATAAAATGGCATCTTTTGCTTGTCTTCAGACATTGTCAAAACGCAAATAACAGGTACACATATTATACACATTATGTAGTTTGTTTTGTATTGCGTACTGTGAAGCCACATTGTATACTACAGAAATGCAGAAACTTTTAATGATAAATGCTTAGTTTTATAAGAATTTTAATAATGTGCTTTTACGTCGCTGTTGTCAATGCTGGAGTCTGCTTGAAGACAGACTTTCTCTGTGTGGTCATCTGCCTTGCTTGAAGTGACGCATCATTCCATGTGTGTATTATAATATTATTTGTATCTTTTACATTTAAATGAATATAATATGATGAAAGTCTGTATAGAGCGTGTTTGAAATATGTAGATTTATTACACTCTATATTATTATGTGTATTGTTTGAAATCCAAGGGTACTTTATACAAATATTTTAACACATTTTTGATAAGGAATGCGCACTACTGTAGTAACAGTTTGCTTTGGTGAATATGAATTAATTGCAAGATTATATAATATTATTGTACACACACTGTCGTTTTGTTGAAATACTTTTTGATATTGCTGTGGCATATTGATACGGAGAGACAAGGTTTTTATGTATAATAATGTTCGTTGTTACACCACTGCTCATAGACACTTTGCGATGTTTCCTGTTTATTTCATTCAGGAGAGCTACACACTTTGGTATGCGAATTTAATCAATTTTATCAATTTCATCCATTTCATCAATTTCATCAATTTCATCAATTGATTTCGTGTAATTTTTGTTATCTTTTCAGGCACTTCTTGACTGTACTTTATGATGGGTTTTGTGTTGTTGTTGTTGTTGTTTTTTTGTTGTTTTTTTGGTAATAATAATTTATCATTTTTGGACTAGGAGGTGTCAATATAAATAAACATTTTGAAAAAGACATGAGAGCTATTATACATACTCTGTAGTTCGCTCTATGTTGGTATACCATACATGAATGTGTTTAACGGTTAATTCCCTTGTAATGCCTGCTGACATGTTCTGGGGCTTTGAGCAATGCTTATTTCTTGCGACTACCTGCAAATGGAGATTATTGTACATATCTATATTATGTAAATGCTGCAGAGGCGTTGTAATAGATGTGTGAAGAAGTAAGTTTTGGTGTTCTTTTTTAACATTTGCAGAAGGTGGGTCTTTTAAATATTATTATTTTTAAAAAATATTCTAAATTTATTTTTTGGGTGTAGAGGACAAAGGCACAAAAGAACACACATCAGCCAGAGATGGAATTTAGAGGGGGGGGGGGGCGGAAGGGGGAGAAAGGGGTGTGGGGTGATCAATCGAAAATTAAAAAAAGGAAAGAGAAGGAGAGCAGGATGGAGAGAAATAAAGAGAGAATGAAACAGGCAAAGAGATATAGAGAAACAGATAAGCAGGCAGATTGAAGAAAATGATAGAGAGGAAGAGGCTTTTGTTTGAGAGAGGTTGTTAGATTTTTTTAAGCTCCAAGAGAAGTTCTTCTACACAAAAGAACCTGCCAGTTTGTATAGGGTAAATATCTAGACCATTGCCCAACACAACAGAAGGACAGAAATAGAAAATAGAACTTTCGAATTCAGTAGGACTGAAACAGTAAATGGAAGCTTCGAATGCTGCCATTTGGGGACTGAGTGGGAGGACAAGAACAAAACATTGGTAAGGGGACTTTTTTCCTGAAAGAGGACTTTTTTCTGAAGGTTGGGGATGGAACAGGGAAATGGGGTGAAATGAGGGGCGGGGTGGGGGGTTCATATTTGGTGATTCCAAAAGGAGAATTTAGTTTCTGAAAGAAGAACAGTTATGTTTTACTTGAGGAATGGGTTTTCATTCCATGAAGTAAAGGGGTAGATCTAGAGCTAAATAGTTTTTATAATCCGGAACATAACTTGAGAGTTGTTATAAGCAAATACCTCACCTCATCTACGGTCTAGTCAAAC